CGGGGGGTTGGACCGGGCGGCAGGCGCTGCCCTGCAGCCACCCCCAGCGAGGAGGGTCGGTCACCCCCGCACCAGCCACCTCCTCCCAGCGCCCCCAGCCCAGGGGTCGGAGCAGGGGAGTGCCGGCACCCGAGGCACGGACCCCTATGCCGAAGCCCGCAGGAGCCAGAGCTCCTAAAGGAGCCGCTCCCAGCGTGGGTTGCGTCAGCTGCAGTTTGACAGTGGGGGGTGGTGTCGGAGATGGCAGCTCCTAGCTGATAATGCTTCTCGGTAACTCAAATCAGACCTTCAACCTGTGTACGTAATGGCTCAGTTTGAGATGAACGAGAGTGATTGAATTCTTTGATGAGGTACTTCTTGGTCCAGTTCTGATTAGCCCCATCCATGCTGGCCTCTGAAGAGAAAGGACCATCCAGGAGGCGTATCTTGGATGGAGCCTGCTTCCATGTAGTGGGTCCCAAATTATGCTCCTCCTTTTTGACCAGCAATTCAGATTTTGTTGTTTCAAATGGACAGTGTTGTGTTCCCTTGATTCTCCATAATCTTAATTTTTGCTGAATCTTTTTACTGTATGGCACGTGGACTTGCTAGCCTAACACTTGTCAACGGATTGCTCCCCTCCCCCATACACTGAATGATTGTAGGTCTTCTCAGATCAAGCCAATATTCTTTTGTCTCCTTCTTTATTATTGATCCAGATTTCTTCCCCACAACTTGAACTCTGTTAAAATTTTTGGTTTTGTATCTTTCCCTGGATTCACAGCAGAGAGATTTAGGTTAGATGTTGTAAGGAAATATCTAATGGAAAAGGAAATAAAGCAATAGAATTGACTATGTGGAGAAAAACATGTTATCTTCTTTATTTGAGATGTGGAAGAATAAGTTAAATTGATCGTCCTTAGAAATAAGTGCAGTAGCACTGACCCTGCTGCGTTGTCAAGTGGTTAGCTAACTGTTAAATTTATTCCCAAGCCCTGTGGTACTGTGAGGATGTGTTTGTTGTGCTGTACCCATATGACAGCAGCCTATGGCTAATTTCAGCTCATCCGTTCATCATTTAGCACAAGGACTGCCGCCCCCTGCTTCAGACCTGAAGAAGGGTTCATGTGTCAGCAACTGACAGTGTTTCGTTTCTTGTTTTCTCAGCTGGTCTTATAAAAGCTAATTCTTTTCCTTGCCCCTCTGAGAAATGAGTTCCCCCCTTTGCCCCCCAGTACAAGCAGAACGAAGCAGTTGTGACATCTGCCTGTGATGCTGGGCAGCTGGCAGCCAGGGCGCCTTGCAGTGACACTGCAGTTTTGATACCCTTCTGAGTTCAGGCAGGGTGTGGAGTGGAGCTGCACGGAGCAGGTGCCGCTGTTCCTGCTGCCTCACTGCTGCTTTTCCTGGGAGAGCTGCAGGCGCCTTTTCGAGGCGGGATGTCGCCCTGTCTCATGTGCCTGTGCGTAGGCGGGTGGGGAGGAGGCAGTGAGATGCTGAGCTGGTGAGCAAGCCAGGCAGAACCCCCTAGTCCCAGCCCTGCTCTAGTGTCTCAGTGTGTTCCAAAAGGACAGTAAGCTACGCAGCTAAAAACTCAACAAGGAAGGTTTTTTTCTCTTCCTGAACAGTCTGCTCAGCTTCATGGTTTGAGCAGGAATAATTTTGTAATATACAATGAGAGGCTGGAGCTGTATCTCAGCACAACTTTAATAATCCTCTGTGTCCATTAAGTCGTTTTAAAGGACTGTGCTCCCATCTTGCACTCCCCAAAAGCTCCTTCTGAAATAAATTATCTGGGAGCCCTGGGGACTGTAATGCACATGCAAATAGAAAGCATGGTTCAGCTGAGGCCTAAGCCAGTACAAATTCCTCAACCTCTGTGGAATTGTCTCTGTTTACATAAAAGCAGCTAAAATTTGGCTTTGTAGTCTAAGTCATGGTATTTTAAACAGCTGAGCTGTCAGTGAGGGTAGTTGTGTCTTTGGTTTATTCTTGATCTTATAGAATGTGTACCTAATAAACAACATGAACGTAAGTTCTCCATAAAAAGTGCTACTTGGCAGATTCACTCTCTTGGTGATTTCCATTTCAATTTGAGTCCTAAATGCATTGAAATGAATGAATCAATAACTGACTGGCTACAGAGCTAGTCAGAGAGGCATGTTCAGTTCCCTCAAGGTGCTCGTGAGGACTTTCTATGAGGCCATCTTCCTTGGCCTTTACGTTTGACACGTGGTTCTTTTATTCTTTTGCTCAAATTAAAAACAGACAAACAAACAAACAAAACAAAACACCAAAACCAAACAAAATCACCAAAAAAAAACCCCAGAAAAACACATCACAAAACAAACAAACAAAAAACCTTTCACAAACCCAAACAAGCAAAATAGGATGAAAGCCCAGCCAGGATAGTTCTTGGTCGAAGTACGTTGTTCATTTCTAAGTTTTGGTAAATTAGAAGGGAGTATGCACTTTTTTTTTTTCTTATTTGCAACAAAAATAAAAAACCATGTCTCTAAACCTTCTGAATCAGCCGGAGTTATTTAAAAATGTGAATGTTTTCATCCCATTGTACAGGTATCTCAAAGTGGTCTATAATAAATACATTTACTCAGTGGACATCTTCAAAGAAGTAAGATTTTTTTCAGGAAAGATAGAATAGGTCGGAGGGTGCTATGGCGTGGTGATAACAAACAGCTGTGCTTGGTTTATTCCTGGGCACTTGGAAGCATAACTGTGGTGAAGTCCCATCCTACCGGCACATTCAAAACAGTCCTTTGACTCCAGCCAGGATTTCACAACTACCGTCACGTTCAGTTGACTTTGAACTGCAACATGTAAATCTGAAAATGCATAACTCGCTGGGAATCTCACCAGGACACACTGGGTAGTGTTTGGTCTGGCACAAGGAAGTTTCGATCTCTGTGTTAAAATAGGAGCATCGTTGTTCTCCTGAAACTGCTTCCCAGCAGCAGACTGTGCTGGCAGCAAGCTCAGTTATTATCCTGTATAATTATTCTATAAGCACAATATTCTGATGTGGTTTGATTCAACTATTTTGCTACAAGGTTTGACAAAGGGTGGTATCATTTCCCAGATACAGTGTTGTTCACAAGCTATGATAAGGAAAATCAAAATAATGGTTTTGTTTTATTCTTTGTTTCACTTTGAAGCAAATAGCCAGAAGAGAGTCTGTCTGAAGGGAAGTCTTTTTAAGACTTCACAGACCAGTTGCTCACACTGGTGCCTGTTAGTGTAGACCTTGGGGTGCAACTGAAGCCCAGTCCCTCATGCCCTGAGGGAGTCATCCTGCCCAGATGCCAGCCTGGGTGTGCTCCTCAAGCCAGCCTGGCTGCAGGCATTTGGCAGGAGGCAAGGATTCAAGCACTCTACCTTTTATTTGTTTTATAACTGGGTAGGTCTGGTTTGCCCAGCGTTTCTGGTAATGATCTTCCAGATGCACCCTGGCAAATGTGTCTGTCAGCTCTGAGGCAGGAGCCCTCCAGCCCTAGTGGCAGAGCACACACGCTCTGTGCAAAGCCCAGCACCTCGTCTGAAACTGCTGATGGAAGTAGCTTGGGAATAAGGCGCTGGACTGTGAACTGGAGAGGCTGGGCCTGCCCTGCATTCCTTTCTGCTGAGCCTGCTCTGGCTGGTAACCTCTGGCACTGGAACGGGACAGGCAGCTGGGATGGCAGTGGCAGAAACCGCTGCAGCCAGAGCCTCTCTGACAGAGCCCTCAGCAACTCATTTGGCCTCAGCCTCCAAAGGAAAGCAGTGATGCTGACTTGGGCAGAGGCAGTGGAGGAGCTGCATCGCCACTCACTTTAAAATGCTCTGGTGTAGCCCAAATGTCTTTTTTGCCTTAAAATCAGCAGTCCTGCTGCAGAGCCCTTGAGAGTGAAGAGGCACGTCGCATGTGACAGGTTTCAGTGCAGCTCGCGTGCCTTGCTCCCGGTACAGGGTGAAGCAGAAGAGCTTGCTCCCCTGGTAGTCTGGGGTTACCGAGGAAATGGGTTATCCCAGGAGATCCTCTGAAAATCCGCTCCTTGGCAAAACTTGGGTGTTCCCACAAGCTGCTCATTGTTTCAAGATGTCACTCCCTTGTGCAGGGAGAGGAAATGGAGGAAGGAAGGAGTCAGCACAGATCCAAGCTGATGATAGGGTTCCCAGGATGCCTCCGGATGATGCTGGTGGCGACGGGAGCTGCGGGGCCAGATGCCCTGAGCTGACTCTGTGCCAGGGCCTCCCTCTGGCTGGTTTTACCCACTCTGTGTTTGCTGCTTGTGCTGTTTGGAATGTTGAGGAAGACTTTTTGGATGTATGCCTTTCTGACTACCATACCTAATCTCACCTTCCTTGTCCCTTCTAAACAAGCCCTGTCCTGTTAGGCACTCTTCTGCCTTCAGCCCTTACCCTTGCAGTCTGACTGGCACCTTTGTTCTTTCCAGACCCCAGTCTGGATTGGTTTCCAGTGTCTTTTCTGGCCACTTTTCCACAACCTGCCTCTTTAGCATTAGCTAGTTTGTCCACCACCTGGCCTTCTTTTTCCTAGTTTCTTTTCCAACCTGTTTCACACTGTCCTTTTCTACTGCTGTCTCTGACTATCCTCTCTCCCTCTCTCCATCCTTTCTAAATCTGCTTCTGAGAGGCCTACAACCTTCATACTCCCCCTTTAGCAGTGGTCCCTGGAGCTGGCAGGATTTGGTTGCTTTTGCTCGGCTTTCTGGGTTGCTCTCCTCCACCCAGAGAGGATTTAAGACAATAGAAAACTGCAGAGCTTGGATTAGAGCTTCCTGCATCCCTGGCAGTAGCACCGGGTAGAAGAATACTTGTGTGCAGAGCAGCGTTTGGGTGTGTACGGCTTGCTCCCGGGTCTGTCGCCTGTGAACTGTCCTTGCAGGGTGCCAGTTGCTCCCCTCTAGTGGCCAGGCTGGCACCTTCCCCTCCCCAACCCTGCCTGGAGAATCGGTCCCCAAGAACTTTATTCCTAGTAAAAAGGAGAGGATCTGGCAGTGCTGATGTACTTTGCTACTCCTTTAAACGCTGTGACGATAACCGGCCGAGCGGTAAGCTCATATATTTCTGTGTTGCTTCCACAGGGCTCGGGTGTGATCAAAGCAGGTTTTGCAGGTGATCAAATACCGAAATACTGCTTTCCCAACTAGTAAGTATTCTGCTGCTCCTGGTAAGTTCTTAGTACTGTGTACCAATTCTTTTATATGTAGAGGGGAAGAATGATTCAATTTTGTAACTAGAAAATGGACTTTTCTTCTGCCCGCTGCACAGAAGCATCAGGGAGAGGAGATCTCTGCTATTAAGTACTTTGAGATTTTTTTTTGGGGGGGGGGGGGCGCCGGCCCTATTGTTTTTTTTTTTTTTTTTTTTTCACTAAAAAAAAGTGACCTATCACTTGGTCAGGCTCAACACCCAACCAAAGCTGTCCTTTAGTTTTGAGACAGGAGGAAAATGACAAGTTAAAAAATAAGCAGGGATAAGAGGTGTGAAGACCTCTACATACCTCTACATTTCTTTGGTGTGTGGTCTGATGTCTTCATTCCTGCCAAACTCTGTTGGAAGTTTTCTTACAGTTTTACTGGAAGGGAGACTGGTGGATCAGGAACTCTGAGTAGTCACTGACTTTTATTTTCATCGAGACGGGGTTTTAATGAGTATATTTGCATTCTGAGCAAAATGTTTTGTATGGTCGGGTGGGGTATGGGACTATAAATGTCTAATCTGAGGAGCCTATCTGAGGTCAGGTAACACCAGGTGGATCTGTCAGCTCAGACCGTTGCTCAGCCTAGCCATAATCCACTACAGGCCCTGTTGGAACAAATAAATCCTGATTCGTCAGGGAAAGTGTGGCCAGACTCAGTTGCCTTATGTCCTGCCACTTCAGAACTGTCTGCAATCTGTTCCCTTCAAGTCTGATTCTGAGATTAGCTCAGAGCAAACCTGGGTCTGTCTGCACCTGGTAGTGCCCCAGACTTGCCCATTGCTTTACAAAGTACTGGTTAAGACAGAGAGGAACACAAAGTAATTAATCCCTGGGTGCATCTGAGCGCTCTCTCTCAAAGCATTTCTACTCTTGCCTTTGTTCCAGTGTGGGCAGACCAAAGCACACTCGTGTTATGGCTGGTGCTTTAGAAGGGGACATTTTCATCGGTCCAAAGGCAGAGGTAAGAAAATCTGTATACTGCACTTCTCCATATATCTCAGTATGCTGCTGTAAGGAGGGGCTGTTGTGCTTGAAAGGGCTGTGGTTCCTCGGGATCAGAAAAGCAGGACAGATGGACACACTTAAAAGTGACAAAGGTGGAATGGGAAGCTTCATGAAAATCTTGTGCCAGCCTGCTGACCACAGACCGTTTTCCCAAGTCTTTCTATATCTCTCCCTTTTTGTTTGTAGGCTGCTTCAAGGTCTGTGTGGTTACATCCCCAACTTTTTGACTGGGAACGTTAGAAATGGTCCCTACTTGGTTGCCTTTTATCTCCCTGGTGTGGGCAAGAAGCTCGCTTTGCACAGTTCTGCTTTTGTAAGCATGTAGTCGTATGGTCTCGCATTTCTCATGAGCCCTTTGAACTATGTTCCCCAATATCACCCTGTTATGTTTTGTGTCATGACTGAGCTGGTAGAACAAAGATACCATTTGATAGGTGTCTCTATTTTGGCTTGAAGTGTTAGGATGGAATGTGCTGTGCAAATGCCAGACTTTCCTACTTGGTATAAAAAGGCCTTGTTTAATCTTGTGAATACTTCTCTAGGACAGATGTTTGTGATTAACATTCAGATTTTGCCCTGTATGCTTGAGATAAGTTGTCTTTTACTAGAACCAAAAATGAGTGAGTCTGACATGAAATCATAGTGCTCAGAGATGTGATCGTTTTGAGTCTCTGACAGGTATGTATGCTCTGTTGTCCTTCCTGTTTGCTCAGGAGCACAGAGGTCTCCTCTCGATCCGGTACCCGATGGAGCATGGCATAGTGAAGGACTGGAATGACATGGAGCGCATTTGGCAGTATGTGTATTCAAAAGACCAGCTCCAGACGTTCTCAGAGGAGGTGAGATGCCCTGTCCTGTAATGGCACAGGCACCTTTCATCGTGTGTGTAACACCAGGAGCCTTGGAACTCTGCGAAAGAGTTGGGATTTTTCCTTTGTTCTTTCTAAATGTGTCTGTTGCTGAATTAGCTCTTTCACCTCTCGGGAGATACTGCGCAAGAAGTGTCCAAGCAGAACTCTTCCCTAGATCTAATGTTCTGGCCTGACTGAAAATCTGACTTTCAGCATTTGTTATTCACACTCTCTCTAATGGTTCTGCTCTAGGCCAAATGCTTCTGACTTTTCCTGTTCTGCCTGCGAGTCGGGCATATCCACTCAGCAGTGACATGGTTTGAAGTGAGGAAGGAGAAGACCTACAAACCTGTGATCTGGAAGGAGCTGACCAAAAAAACTCTTAAATGACTGAGAGCAATAAGTTCTATAAGTGGAGTAGGAATATTTCTGCCTGCTCATACTAAGACCATATGCCTACGGCCTTTCTTAGGATCTGTGTGTTTTGGCTAGCGTGCCTGATTTTGGCATTGAGAGTCATCTTGTTCATCCTTCATGGTGCAGGATCACTCACAGAGTAGATTTCCTACTACTTCATAACTAGGCCAGAACCCTGCTGGGCTTCCAACTTCATAAAAGTTACTCACAGTCTAACATAGCTCAGCTGAAATTACTCCCTTCCACCTGTACCTTTGCATGTGGTTCTTAAATAAATAAATAATAATAAATAAGCAGACATTTTCAGGAACACGCCAGGAATCTAGCTGCCTCCTGGTTATTGCAGCACAGCTCCTTCTTTTCTCTACCAGCATCCTGTGCTGCTGACAGAAGCACCCCTAAACCCACGCAAGAACAGAGAACGTGCTGCTGAGGTGTTTTTTGAGACCTTCAATGTGCCAGCACTATTCATCTCCATGCAAGCCGTGCTCAGCCTGTAAGTGTCTCTTCTCTTTGATTTGCGCCTGCAAAATGTTTCTGTGAAATCCATTTCTTCACAAACAAAAAAAAAAAAAAAAACCAACAGAAGGCCACACTGGTAAGCGGCTTACCTGCTTTTCAGCAAGAACTGAGACTGAATTTTAATTGCTGTAATAAAGAGTTAGAGGAGTTTGCTGAGCTGTGATGAGAACTAGGTTTTGGGAGTGTTCTAGCCCCTGTTCATGTGAAATCTCTGCTCCCTGAGTTGAACCTGGATTTGCTGCATGCTTGGGGTCATTCTGAGTTGCTCACTCTGACTTGATTGTTTGCCCCCTTGCTAGCTACGCGACTGGGAGGACTACAGGGGTGGTGCTGGACTCCGGGGACGGGGTCACCCACGCCGTTCCCATCTATGAAGGCTTTGCCATGCCCCACTCCATCATGCGGATCGACATCGCTGGCCGCGACGTCTCGCGCTTCCTGCGCCTCTACCTCCGGAAGGAGGGCTACGACTTCCACACCACCTCCGAGTTTGAGATTGTCAAGACCATCAAGGAGGTGACGTGCTCTCGTTTCTGTGTTTGTCCAAGAAGGGGTTTCTGTCCAAGGGAAGTTGTGACTTGTAAAATCTAGTGGGCAGTGCCAGACTGCCTAGCTCTGCACCTCGTTGCTTTATCTACTTGAGGGAGACTAGAGTCACTGAGATGATTAAAGGACTGAAGCATCTCTCATATGAGGAAAGGCTGAAAGTGCTGGAGCTGTTGAGCCACTTGAAGAGAAGGCTGGGGAAGATCTCTTCAATTTATATAAACATCTGAAGGGAGGGTGCAAAGAAAACAACGTCATTTCAGGGATGTCCAGTGCCAGGGAGAGATGCACAAACTAAAGCACAGGAGGTTCTGTCTGAACATAAACTTTTATACTGCGAGGGTGACCAAGCACTGACACACAGGTTGTCCAGAGAATTGTGGAGTCTACATCCTTGGTGATATTCAAAAGCCATCAGGACATGGTCCTGGGAAGCCTGCTCTAGGTGACCCTGCTTGAGCAAGGGGCATAGACAAGATGACCTGCAGAGGTCCTTTGCAACCTCAGCCATCCTGTATTCCATGGGACTTAAGAGTCAAGGTCACATCTAATCCCTGTTGAGGGGCTGTTAACATGGAGGTGAAGACTGGCCGAGGTTCTTGAAGCTCTGCCCTACCAGCAGCGGGCCATAATGGAAATAGTTTGCTTGTTCTACATGGCTGTAGCTTGGTGTGGCCATGCTGAGGGAGCAGTGCTCATGCTTTGTGTCATGGTACAGCTGAATGGCTTCTGCTTGTTGGTCAGAGCAGGAGACTTCATAGGGTTGTGGGCATTAAACTGGTAGTGGCTTTCTATTTTACAAGTGCTTATTGCTGAATGAGAGAAAAGGCTGGCATGTGCAGATACTACAGCATCTGTGGGCCAGGAGATCTGGTGATCAGAGGCTTGCTGGAGAACTCTTTGCTTCAGAAGAAGCCTGTCTTGTAGCAAGCATCAGTTGCAGTGCAATTGCAGCAGGGTTATAAGACAAAGCAAGAGGCTTGTACTGTTCATAAATGGCCAAGGGTCCCTTTGCATCTTGGGTGGTGAAACTATTAAAAGGTGTGCTGATGGTTAAACACAACGTCTTGCACCAGTGCAGTCTCTTCTCTGGACTATGTGCTTAGAAGAACAAAGAGTAGGGCCAAGTGAGTAAAGTCTTGCTTTGTGTACTGACTACCCTCACTAGTGAGAGTGCTCAAGAAGAAACAACCTGATGTTTGCTCTCCAACCTACACCTTTTGCTTTACTTCAAGATTAATTTTAGATTGGGAAAGCGTTGCAGATTTCTTGGCTATGTGTGCCTGGAACTTCTGGGGATGTTGAAAAGCCTAGAGGAGAAATTGCCTTAAAAGGGAAACTTTTAATAATTACTTCAGTGCAGCCATTGTTCTCTGTTTCTTAGTTTACTGTGAGGGTGGACAGACACCCACAGGTTGCCCATAGAAGTTTGTAGATGCTCCATCTGTGGAGATACTCCAAACATGCCTGGACATGGTGTTGGGCAGCCTGCTCTAGCTGACGCTGCATGAGCAGGGGATTGGACTAGATGTTCTGAAGAGACCCCTTCCAACCTAAATGTTTCCGTGATTCTGTTTAGTTTTCTTTTTTTTTTTTTTTTAATCCCCAAATGATGACAATTTGGAATATTGTGGAATACAAAGTACATGGTGCTGGAGCAGCTTGAAAAGCCAAAATACTTAGTTTCCTATAACTTAAAATGTAGGTGAGCAATAGGAAGTGAGCAGCTTAGATCATGTTCAAAATTTGTTGCTGTTGCCTATTAGTTAGTTATCCTGTTGAAATGTAGCAGTGGACTTTCTCCATGCTGCTAATATGTTGTAAAACTACTCAAGCCCACCTTTGTACAAGGTTAATTTCACTAAAGGTGTTTCATGGGTGTGCTTTCCCTTGCCCTGCAGTAGGTTGGAAGCGCTCGTGGGATAGTTGCTTCATCTGCACTAGAGGGAGGCAACTTCTAAGCAGTAAATGGCAGCTGGAAGCAAGAGGAGAGCAGCAGCTAGAGGGGGTGTGAGCATCCTTGATATCTCTAATCATCCCATGGAGCTATAGTATGAATAGGTATTTTACCTGATGTGAACCCAAAAAGTCTTTTCCCTGCGGCAAGTATTGTTGAAATTTGTCTCCCCAAAGGGTTACATGGATTTTGATTGTTAGTGAGAAAAGTATTTCATCAGAGGTATTTGGGTTTACCCTTCTCATTTCTCTCTCCCTGACTGTTTCCTCTCCAGCGTGCCTGCTACCTGTCAATAAACCCCCAGAAGGACGAGACTCTGGAGACCGAGAAGGCTCAGTACTACCTGCCAGATGGAAGCACTATTGAGGTTTGTGAGGAGCACCAACCTCAGAAGGACTACTGATGTGAAGCATGGGGTTTCCAGAATTGCCTTCTGCCTAGCAATGGGAAATATAATGTGGTTTTAGGTGGGAGATAATTTTAAAAGACCAGAACTCATCGCAGACTGGGCGCTAGAATCTTTAGGGGAAGAAAACATATACTAGAAACCTCACAAGTTCTACTGGAAGTCCCTGGGTAAAGATATGGCCATGACTATGGGGACTCTGAGCTGAGTGCAGGCTCTGATCTTGCAAATCTTTATGCAGATCAGGAACAGAGTGTGGGTGGTTACCAGCTCACTGTAAATTCAGCAGTGGTTTTGTATGTGGCCTGCCTAGAGGTGCAGAAACAATTGCTTTGAAGAGTGAGTTAAGAATGCTCTTCAGAAGACTGAGCCCACTATAGAATGTTTGAAGGAGAGGAAATACAGGTCTTACCTCTAGCAAGAAGAGTAGATCTGCACCTTCTCTGCCTGTGACCTGCTGTATGGGGCTGAGCAAGTTTCTTCAACTCTTTCAGCTGTGAAATGGAAATAGTGCCTTTTCTAGACCAAAATAGTGTTCACTTGGGAAGTAGTGATCAATGTCCAGGAAATTTCCTTACTCTGAAGTTTCACTGAAGAGAGGCAGGCCCAAACTGTAGACAGTGAACAGAGCCACTGCTTTCTCTTCCCCTCTGTGATAACTTCTCTTGCAGATCGGCTCTGCCCGTTTCCGAGCCCCAGAGCTGCTGTTCCGGCCAGACCTGATAGGGGAGGAATGCGAAGGTCTCCATGAGGTGCTTGTTTTTGCCATCCAAAAATCAGACATGGACCTGAGGCGAACCCTGTTCTCCAACATCGTGCTGTCTGGAGGCTCTACGCTTTTCAAAGGTTCCTGTCTCTCCTCTTTCAGGGGGCTGTGACACACCTGATCTCTTGCTTCCTCATGTGGAACTGGAAGGAAAACCTAGATCACCCATCTTGCCCTGTGAGATGAGGGCTGTGGGAACTCTGCTGTCTCAGGAGGGATTACTGTCTAATTTTGAGTCCTAGTCATACCCTTCTGGGTATGCAAGACACCTCTGCTCTTATATATCACTTCCTGGGCTTGAGGGGCTTTTGCCTATTTCTTCCTGTCACTCTGCCTGTGTCAGGACTGAATAGCTGTACTCATTTCTGCTGCTCTAGTTAGGATAGTTGAGACTGGATGCTTAAAAGGCTTCTGCGTCTCTTGAGGTTCCTTAGATCTTTGGTACCTGAGAGAGTCCAACAGTCCTGTTACTGCATGAAATGTCAGCCACATGTATGTGCAAAACTTTCTACCCATCCCCTTGGGGCTCAGCTGGCCCCCATCAACTTAAAGATATCCTCTGCCAGAACCCATGAGCCTGTTATCCACAGGTGGATATCTCCACCTGGCCTTCCCATTCAAACCGTGCTCCCCTGTACCAATGGGCTGGACACATGAAGAATGCCCGGGGAGGGAGGAGGGAACTGGCCACGTGTGGTCCAAGCTAAAAGTCTTTTCCCATCTCAAGTTGCTGCTGAGGGATAGAGCCCATTGTGCCAGTGTTTGAGGTGTGCCTGAGGGAGACCTCGCTGGCTGTGTTCTGTCCCTCTCCAAATTGGTGTGTTTAAGAGCTGGAGTGGGATAATTGAATAGGATGGCATAGGACATGTCCATGTTGTTAGTAGATGGAACTCGGGATTTTGCTGAGGGGCTCAGGGTACATGTTTTCTGTCTTGTGTAGGCTTTGGTGACAGACTGTTGAGCGAAGTGAAGAAGCTGGCTCCGAAGGACGTCAAAATAAGGGTAGGAGCAATCTCTTTTGTGTTTATTGCATATTGTGTATGTTGTTTTGTGGCCTATAAAGAACCACGCTGAGAGTGCAGCTGCCATTTGCTTCAAACAAGAAACAGCTTTCCTGAGGCAGCCTATTGTGGTCACAACTTGAAAACCTGTTTCGTTTCATCACAGAGAAGGTAGCTCTTCTGACAACCTGACCCCTGTCCAAGTTCCTGGACCATTGTGGCTTTTTTGGGGTGGTTGCTGGGTGTCATTTTAGTGGGAGAGATCATACCTGTGTTTGTCAGATGTCAGTTACAGTGAAACGGGGGCAGCATCCTAGCAGGAGCAGACTGGAACTTGAGAGGGTACTGACCGATTCTCTCTTTCTCCCAGATATCAGCTCCTCAGGAGAGATTGTATTCCACGTGGATCGGGTAGGTACTGCACAGTACGTCCTGCTGTGAGGTGAGGGCTGGGGAGGCACAGCCTGCTGGCACTCACACTGTTGTCCCTTCTGGTGCTGCGTGTCAGGAGGGTTTCATTGTTCAGCTGCACAGTGCTCAGTGTTTACCGAGTCCATTCTGTCTGCACTGCCAGCCCCTTGCCCTTTGCTATCCTTAAGCCTCCTGCAGGAGCTGCTGATTTTCCGTGTCTTACCAGTCTTACCATTCAGCCTAACGTAGAGCAAGCTCATAGGTAGTACATTTCTTAGGGCAGATCCTCTAGGTACATCCTCTCTCATGTATGTCTTTGCTGTGGATGGGGAGAGCTAAACTCTGCCCCATAGTCCTAGAAGGTGAGAGCAGACCCTGTGTGAGGAGAGCTGGCGCTTGGAGCAGCGATCAGCAGGTTGTTGGGGGGGATGGGGGCTTGTCCCAAGCTCTGTACTGCCAGCTCGTTTGAGGCTAACAGAAGAGGAAATGACTGTCCCAAGAGTGTTTTCTCTTGTAGATAACTGGGAACCTGAGCACCTTTCTGACGCAGGGCAGTATTAGGCAATAGAAACAGCTCTTCGCTGCAGAGGTACCATGAGAGCGCCCCTGGCATTTTCCTTTAACCCTTAACACACCTATCTCTCCCCAGTGGCTCTATCCTGGCCTCACTGGACACCTTTAAGAAAATGTGGGCTTCGAAAAAGGAATATGAAGAAGATGGAGCTCGTGCCATCCACCGAAAAACCTTCTAGCCCTGGGACCTGTCCTCAGTCTCCTCCGAAGACTCACTTCAGTTCTAAACTCGCTTTTCTGAGTCCGAGTGTCTGAGAGCTGCCTGTGTGTGTGTGTGTGCGCCAGCATGCCCCGATGTCACTGAGCAAAGACAACAGCAGCAGGAGGGTTGTATTAGTACTACTAACTTCTTATTTTTTTATTTTATTTTTGTCTTTTTTTTTTTAATGGAAGGGAGAAAATACCAGTCCGAATTTCTCCAGAATGGCCCATTCCTTTTTAATTTCAGTCCCTTAACTTCTGTATCGCAATCATGTTGTCGCTGTAAAACAAACAAGCAAGCAAAAACAAAGGGAACAGTTTATAGCAACCGCCTAGCAAGCCAGAGGGGAGCCAACCACCACAGACTGCCCACGCAGGCTTTGGCCAGCCCGACTGCAAGGCCTGGATTGTCTGGAAACACCGCTGAGGCCCCATAGCTACTTTCTTCTTCAGCAGCCTCTTCACCGTCAGTAGGGTTTTTTGTTTATAATATATTTTTTATTAAGAGAGAGCACATTCTCAACAGTTAAGTCCATTTGCCCCCACTGTTTTTGGTGCGTGTGTGTGTGTATGCGTGCGTAACTTCTTAGCCTGATGTGTGGGTCTGCACCACAGCTGGAGAAGTTGGTGATAGGACTTAGTTTGTATTGCATGGAGTAGAACAAAGCAAATCTAATCAGCTATCATTGTACTAGACGGTTATTCTCTCGTACCTTGTTTTAAATACCTTTTCTCCTCTGGAAGCAAGTGCCCCAGAATGGGGGTGAAGGCACTTGTGTGTTTCCCCTCAACCTGCCAAGATTTACAGTGCTGAGTTCTCATGTTATTTCTCTGTAAGAGTCGAGGCTGTTCCCCTCCTTCCTGCCACGTCAGGGCAAAGGAAGCATGTACTTGCAGCCAGGCATAACTCCTATGTACTTTATCCATTCTGGGTCAAAATAATAATTGGAAAGGTGCATTGTAATGTAAGAATTGTTTTATTTATTGAAATGTCTGAGGATATCTCAAAATACTGACTGCAGCACCTGGGAATTACGCTTTGGGTCTTCTTTGCACATGTGCTGCCCAGCTGGAGGTTAGCACTGCTTAGCAGAGCAGCCCCACGACCCCACCCCGTGGCTGCCCCGCCGGGAGCCTTGCGGGTCTCTGAGCCCCCCAGAGGAGAGGACCAGAAGCTGCTGGGACGGCGGTGGGAGTGGCAGGCCTGTCAGCAGGGAGCCACGGCTGTGCCCTGCAGTGCTGTGGGGGCCTTGCTGCTGGGTTGGTGGCCAGGGCCTGTGGACCCGTCGGCGTGGGGAGTGCCACTGGTTCCCCTCCAGGTTTTTTCATTATGCATTATTTGGTGCTGCCTTTTTTTCTCCCCCATTGTTGATTTTTTGCAGTACCTGGCAGTAGGAGCGGAGCTAGAGTTGGTCGGTGGCAGTTCCCACCCTGCTCCCTTCCTCTTCATCACCACACCTCCCTTGGGGTCACTCTGGAGCAGTGATGGGGTAAGCGCTGGAGGGCTGCAGCAGAGGCCTGGCAGAAGCTGGTGTGTTGCCCCAGCCGAGAGGGATGTGGGCAGCAGCATGCTGCCTCTGTGGGAACCATGTACTGAGGGCTGTAGCAGGCAGGGGTCTGTTCCAGCTGAGGCCAGGCTGCTTGCTCACCTTTCCCCAGCAGTGCAGACTTTTTTTCAGCAAGAACCCGTCAGGTTGAAGAGAGCTGTCAATGCTCAGCCTTCTGCAAGAAGAGCAGTTGCGTTCTTGCTGGTTTGCTGCTGCGCACAGAGGAGAAGTGGCAAACCCCTCGGTTGAGTTACCACATGCCCTGGGCAGTGCCAGGGGTCTCCTGGACCCCAGCCCCTCTGCTGCCCTTGCAGGAGCAGCCACGCTCTGTTCTGTAACTTGCAGTGAGGGGATGTAAAGGTGCCATCTCCATCTCGCATTCGTTTATCTGCCTGTTCCCTCGCACACTGTCCAAACCGTGTTGCCTGGTGGTGCCCAGCATACTTAAATAAAGTCATTCATCTACAACCCTCGAGCCTCCTGGCCTCATCTACCCACATGGGCATTTTTAAGGGGGTAACTTGCATTCTCTTGCCTGTGTAGAATTGTCACTGACCCATCTCTCTGTAAGGAGATGCCATCTCTGGTCCAGGGCTGCATGCCTGGCCTCTAGAGCCGAGGGTGGAGATGCCTAGGCTGCAGCTGTGGTCTGCACTGGTGGTGTCCAAAGCTGCTCTGCTCCTCAGCAACCCTTCTGTACTGTTTCTCACCATGGACAGGTGAGGGGCAGCCGAGGCACAGAGCAGCTCTGAGTGAGGGCCATTGCCATTGTGAGAAGAGCTGCTGCCAGCCCAGGTGCTTGCTGAGAACTAATGTGGCAAGCTTTGCTCCCAGGGCAGGACCAGGAAGGTGGCACAGAGCCCAGACCTGTGACTGTCCCCAGCCTTTGTGCCACCTTGAAAAGCAGCTGGAGAAGGAAGAGGACAGTCTAGTTCCTGGGGACTTCCAAAGCAGCAAGTGACTCACATGCCCCTAGGAGGCTACATACACAAGCCTGCTGATCCTCTGTGCCCCCTGCAGAACCCCAGTTTTGCTGGAGAGGAGCAGTCCCCTCTTCTCTCATCCAAGCCTAGCACCACATCAACCCAGCCAGGTGTGAGGCACCTGCTCAAAAAAGTCACCAAACAATACAGAAAAGATCATCTTTAATTTATGAAATGAAGAATCATTCTCAAACTTTGTTAGAAGTTGAACAAATAATTTATGATTGAACCGCTACAGAAGTCTCATGGCAGGAATGTCTTGGTCCAAGACAGAAGGCAGTGTCCTGAGGCATGATGGCAGGTCAGTGGGCTGAGACCCCAGAGGGAGCCTGGTACTAAATGAACAGCACACCCCTCAGCATCGAGCAGCCTCCAAACACTGCCTGCACACCTCCTCCTCTTGCAGGCACCCACAGGGCAGAGCTCTGCTCTGGCACATCTCTTCTGCCCACCCCCAAGCATGCTGCAGGGATTGAGGAGATGCTCTTGCAGCTCAGGGTTCCCTTTGTGACTATCTGCTCCCAGCCAGAAGCAGGGAGACCAAACCACCTGCTCTCCTCCCTCAGGTCCATGGCTCAGCAGCTGGATGAGATGATCAAACCCCAGGGCACCATTTCAAGCAGGGAGGAGCTGAGGCATTTGCCTCTACCTATGGACATAAGATCTCAACCCTGTGGCTGCCCAGCACAGTCAGACAGGCTCCAAAGAGGAATTGAAGGCACAAAAGCAAGTCCTGGTGTCTCTTCCAGGCTGTACTCTTCCCCCTGCAGGAGGGGAAGGCGCCAGGCTGCCTCATTGGGTCACCTGGGACAGCACTGGGCAGGGAGGCACTTCCATGGGCTGGGTGAGGGGCTGGTTCCTCAGCCTCATAGCCAGCATGGCACAGCTGTTACAGTGCTGGCTGGAAGGGGTTATGGAGGGATAAGGACAGGCAATGGGATGCCACGTGAGATGTTCCAGCTCAAGCCCGGTGCTTTTTCCGGCCCAACAACTTCTGCAAAGCCACAGAGGGAGCCTCAGCATAAAACAAGCACAAGAGGCAGACCCTGGACACCCAGGATATTGTCCTGGGAACAAGGCCCAAGAGTGGATTTGGTCCATGAACTGCAGCACTGTACATGGGAAGGGTTGTACCAGTTACTGGGAAAGGTCTTCAGGGGCCTCTTATCCCTGCTCCTGCTGTCCTGCGATCACTCTGTAGGTCACTTGGTCCCCCTCCACTCTCCAAAGCTGCAGGGCTGTAACAGGGAAGGACTCCCTGCGCGGCCCCCTCCTGCTCCACCAGAGAGGCCGCTGCTCCCCAGGGCCATGCCCAGAGCAGAGGACTACACTGCAACCCTGCACCTTCCCCCTGGGAGGAGCAGCTCTCAGCTCCCTGGGACAGGCAAGGATAAAGTGTTCTTGCTCCTGTGGCCAAGCCATCTCCCCCAGGCCCCTCACACACTGAACTTCTCTGCCTTCCCCAGCAACCCCCTCCTGGAACAAGTGAACGTCAGCATTTCACAGCTGAACCATAAACATGGGGGTTTGTCAGCCCGCCATCCCTGCGCTCAGCCCACTGTCCTGCACCGGCCTCCACCCAGCAACACCCCAGGGGCTCGGGCACCCCTAAATAGTCTTGATCTCTGGTGCTCGGCCTTGCATCAGGCTTTGGCGCTGAGCCTTCACCATCTGCAGCCGCTTCCCGTGCAAGCTGAACTGGGACCAGCTGAGGAGCTGCAGCAGTGCACATGTGATGGGTACAAAGATGAGGAGGTAAAAGCAGCCCTGGCGAAGGGTTGGCTCCAAGGCCGCGGCAGACTCCAGCCTCGGCTGGGCACTCACCATGTCGCTCAAGGGGTTGCGCTGGAAGATGTCATAGCCTGGTGTCAGAGAAGAGTTTGTGAGCCTGGGGGCAGTGGGGACGGACCCCTGCCCCGCTGCTTCCCCCGGGAGCACCCTCACCTGTGTAGGCGCAGAGCAGCCAGGTGCCAACCAGAGGGGCGAAGGTCTGGCCCGGCTTGGTGACCAGAGCCACCATCCCAAAGAGCAGCGCTGAGGCTGCCTGCTTCCTACGGTTCAGGACTAGATCTTCGTCCACTAAGTCACTCACCACCAAGTTGAGCAGCTTACAGGTCCCTTCTGTGAACACCCGGTTGCTGCAGAACAACAGGGAACACACCAAATAGAGGCATCAAGGAACGATGGGAGTAGGTGAGAGGTCAGAGGAAATTGAGAGGGGGTGAGAAAGGTTCCCCCACACTTAAAATAAAAATTTCAGAACCCCTAGTTACAGGAAGGAAACACTGCTAGCCATAAGCCTTGTGTGCCCTGCAGCAATGCCCTGGATCAGCCCTGACCTGCCCCAAAGACAGGATGTGCTGGGCCAGAGGCTAACAGGCAGCTGCAGCACACCCTGAGGGCTATCACCCCAAGCAGGCTTGGCTCAGCAGCTGCGAGAAGCTGCTGCAGGCTGCCACCA